GAAGCCGTCGCCGTCGAAGCCGTCGTCGTCGAAGCCGTTGTCGTCGAAGCCGTTGTCGTCGAAGCCATTACCATCGAAGCCTTTATCGGAAACAATAAAGAAGAAAATTAATGACGCATCTATCTCGGTGCAAAATGGCAGCAGGAAAAGAAGCACCAGCCTAGACACGGTAAAGAGTCCTCCGAAAAAAATAACGAGAAAAACAATCACGAGCACGAAGGTGGTAAACAACGCTAAGAAATATCAGAATATGATTGTGAAGAGGAGACTAAATCTACGAAAGATTGATAACAATGCGAAGCCTAGTGAAAACGCATGGTCCAACGCTAACGCTTCAAAAATATCGTTGCATGCATCTGACACTCAGCGATTTGTGATAAGTTTGGGTTCCGATACGGATACCGAGTCCGAAGGCGAGAAAAACGAGTCCGTTTCTGTTGCGGAGAAGCATCAAGCGCATCAGGAGATCCCTACCGATTTTGAAAAGAATTTGAGTAAATTTCTGCGTGAGGTGAGAAATGAACAAGAACAGTCTGCAGCAGCTGCAGCGAAGTCATCCAGTTCGTCCACGCAAGCGACAAAGCGAGATGTGTCACAAACGGCTAACGGTTCATCTAATATGCACACGCCACTGGTAAGGCGATTGCATATTTCCTCTAATTATCCTTTAATGCTAGTAATTTATATGAAAGAGATTAATATTGTTTAGATTCGCAATTCGAAGATTTATTATACTGAAGAAGAATTGATCGCTGGAACTTTCTTAATTTGTTCTGCAGGTTTTCCTACTTTGTTGCAGGCCGTGAGGCATCTTCCTGCGTCACAGCAAGAGGAGTATCGTCGTTTGAAGCAGGAAATCTTGGAGCGCGAAAAGTTGAAACTGCAGAGAAAAGTAGCAAGTAACAATAGTAGTAGTAGTAGTAGTAATAGCAGTAATAAATTATCAAACACTAACGTAGCAAGCTCACCAATAAAATCTTTGTCATTATGCGAAAAGAAAGCGCAAGTTAAACAGAACCAAGATAATTTAAAAACGCTAGAGAAGAATCCTCCTCAAGAATCGTCAACAGAAGTTGGAAAGAAAAGCGACGACGTGACGAGAGACACGTCAGAATTAAATGTATGTCATAAGTCTGTTGAGAAAAAACTTTCGGTGAATATTGCTAAACACACTAATTCTACACAAAGTTTTTTGCAAACTAAAAACAGTAAGAAAGCGATACCGAATAATCTCAGCATTCGAATTACTAACGTTACCGCTTCAAGTCACGCCAACGGTAGAACGGTCGAGAATTTGTGTGAGAAGCAACCCGTAACAGACACACAGCAGCATAAATCTGCTTTGAGAACGTTAAGCACAGACGAGATAAATTGTAAATACGTGCAAGTAATGTTGAAGCCGAACGCAATTGAGCGAGTCGTCACTATAAACGACAAATCCATTTTGCAAAATGACATGACAATAGGCATCGGTCAAAGTGAAAATCCGATCGAGCCTGATGTCAATACAAAAAATCTAGTCGAGAAAAATCTAAATGATGTAGATAGTAACAGTAGTACTTTTTCTACTGCATCTACTGTAAAACTTTCAAATTCATCTTCGGTTTCGAGTGAACACGAGGAGACGATGGAAACCACAATGTCACTTTCCCAATATAAAGCAGAATGTCAGCAAGAAATTAATCGTGATACTTCAACGTCTGTACTTGCAGACAATAATAATAGCAACAATGGCTCTCATAAATCTGACTCGGTTGCCAACGATAATAGTACTGCGAATGATATTTGGGACACACTTAAAAAGGATGTTAAAACAAAAGTGGATTCCCTGACGAGTCTTCCAGAAGCAGAACAAGAGCGACATTTGAGAGAAACTGAGCATAAATTAGTTGAAAAACGGTAATTACACATAATAATTTTGCGAAGAAACGAACTATAATAATGAGCGACACACAATAGAGCTTTCATATTAAATTATGTTATTTATATATGATATAGGTATACGATCTTAGATCATTTAGCAGAAATGTCAGGGAATCTTCGTCAATGGGATCTGGAGAAGGAAGTACAAACTACCCTGGCTAACGAAGTGAAAAAACTTAAAGAACAGTTAAAGATAGCTGAGGAAAGGTTACAACAGCAGCGCGATCGCGTTAACAGCATGGGCCCTAAAGTTTCAACAGCACGTCAAAAGATTAATACTGGACGACGCGAGTGCTTCAAACTGTCCAGAATTTGTTCGACCCTAGGTAACCGACTCATGGGGAAAAATTACAAGTACGCAAGTATGAAAGCCACAGATGCATGTGGCGTAAATATTTAATAACTAATAATTTAGATTATCTTATATGTAAATAAAGAAAGAAATTCTGACGTTCTATTTTTAGTGTATTTTGATTATTGAAAGAGAGAATGTTCTTTTAGGTTGCCAGAGGCGGTAGATCAACTTTTAAGTGATAAACTCAAGGAGGTTGCTAATCATACGCGTCAGTTTACTAAGAAGAAGCGACTTCAAACTAATGATATTTCTGAAAATTCCTATTCTAGTACATTAAAAGAAACCTCAGAATCATCTAAAGATATATGCATTGAGGAAAATCTGTCGCAAGAACAGCCAATGAATGACGAAGTTGTAATCGTTGAGACGGGACCGAGAAAAGTTACTTGCTTGACGCAATCTAATCAAAATAAGAATTTATTGACAGAAATCTCACTGGATTTCTCGCAAGTAATTCCACGCCAATCAATACCAGAAAGGGGAGAAAAAACTTCAGCAAATGCATTGAATCATTGCAACAAAGAACAAGTCACAACTCTTAACCAAGATAATGCGTCATCTTCTGAATCAAAGTTATACCAAAATAGTTCTACAGAACAAAATATTGAGCACACAAAAGAAAGTAGAACGGATAAGTCTGATCCCGCCGTATCTTTAGAACTAAAGTCATCAGCGACTGCTTCCTCAAGTTCAGAACAAAATGAACAGACTAACGAAAAAGCCTCGCCGCAACTGCCATCGCCATCGCCGACAACAATAACGATGACGACAAATACAACAACGATATATACAACAACGACGACGAAACAAATTGCACCTTATGTATCGATATTGTCACATTTAAAGAAACCAAGGTGAGTGTTCCTTTTTTTGAAAAATAATTACGGTATTCGATCATCCATTGTCTGTGGACTATTCTCAAAATCTTGAGGATTTTTGTGGTTTCTGTTACTCTTTTCGCCAGGAACATCAACCCCCATGGAATTCTGTGTCCGTACGAAATGATGGGCATTTGCAGGGACGAGGATTGCCAATACATTCACCAGTCGAGAAATCAAACCTGAAATAATACATTACATACTACCGAACATATTCAACATGACGTAAGGTGGTTCTAATTTCTCGTCAAATGTGTCAATGTGGATCACACACTTTACAATACAATAATAATATTTCAATTCGTAAATATCATAAGCTCGCGCGTTTAGTTCCTTGACTATATCTGGATTTCTAAAATCTAATTGTTCACAATATATATTGCATGCAATGTAAGATAGAGTCGTGTACACATAAGAAAGAACAGAAAATAGTTTTAATCATCTCCTTCAAGCAAATGTCTTTGATTTCGTATTTACAGGTATCATCGATTATCCTCTAGGAAATAGATATATCGATATAGGCAGGTTGCGATGTTATGCAGAGCCAACACTCGAAGATCGGTAAGTTGTCTTCATCCATGGCAGGCTCTAGTGCACAATACCGAAATTATCGTTTTGTTTCGCAAAAATCTTACATTTTTACGTAAGATCTCTATTTTAAAACGTCGTGCTACTACGGGATCTCGAGAGGTATCCGTATTTTATTGAAAGTTTAAATCAAATTTCTACCAGTGTATATTTTTTACAATTATAAGAAAAAAAGTGTAAACTGCAAGATCAACCAGTGTGGTAAAGATAAATAGAAGAAGAATCTATCGACTATACTGAAAAAAAGAAGAGAAATCCAGCAATTATGGATCATCGGACAATTAGTAATTTTTTCTTCGTACTTCGATAAGTTACCTCATATTAATAAATCTTGTACCTGTATAATAAAAGTTAAATATTTTTTTCTTATCTAAAGTGTAAATTAATTATATATGTTCCCTCCCTATTTCATATATTATATAGTCTTTATTTAATTTTCTTTAAATTTGTATATCGCTTTCGTAATTAGCAAAATATATATGATCGTTTATAATCGTAATTATCTCGTTTTAAATATAAAACTTTAATTTTATTGATTTCTCTCTCTCTCTCTCTCTCTCTTTATTCGCCGTATTTGTTGCCGGGGAAATCGCCTTGAGTTCTGTATTTATGCCAAGGTAATCTGCCTGTAAGTCTAAGTTCATCCCACTGTTCCACCCAGGCCTTTGGACATATGGATGTGAAAACATCTTTAAACCAAATACATGCTTCGGAACCTTTACCTAAAATATGCTCACAGCGATAAAAGTCAGTATACATCACGAAACATCTCTGCGTCTGATTTTGTTGCTGAAATCTGCAAAACAGAGTTGACAACAAAGAAAATATCCCTGAATTAATTATGAATACCGTAATTATATATATACCTTGGGTCATTGCCAGGAGAACGTATGAATTCCTCCCCACGAAAAGTACGTAATGTCTCTTCCTCGTGAATCTCATTTTTTTTAAGGCAAGGATCATCTTCATCTACTTCGATAGTTATCTTTTTCTTTGACCCCTTTTCCCTCGTTCCATACTTTCGTGCTGGATTATTTTCCCCCATTTTTTTTAAACGACAATCACGTGTGCTTTACGATATTAATAATTCTGTTATATATTTTGAATTTCTTTTTAAAAGTTGTTCAGTGCTGCTGTCATTAAAAAATTTTTTTTCGTTGCTTTTCGCTTGTTTAAACTTTCGCTATATATACAGTGAGAATAATTAAAATAGCGTCTTTATTGACACGAAACCGATCATATAAAGCGGTACAAAAAGATTTTTTTAAAAATAGCATACAATACGCAACGCATAATTAATCACAGCTAACATAAGGCCATTTATCTTCTATGTCTGTGATGTTGAAGTATTTCCAACAATTTTAGATCAAATCTGAATCGTTTCAGATGATGCATACACTATACAGTAGCAGCGCGTATATCATTTTTATAGGAAGAGAATAATACAAATTGTATATATATGATATACAAACACTTATCAGAACAAGCGCTATAGTGACTAATGCGTGAATCGCACGAATCAAGCATAGAGTTAACATCAAGCTGCTTCCCGGCGAACACATTGTGGTAAACAAATAAAATCTCTAATGAGATTTATTTTAACTTTCAATATTATACGCCGAGCGGTATATAAATATAATATATACGCGCATATAAACAATTTCTATATAAAAATATCATCCACGTACATATCGATATTATCCACTAAGATTGAGAACACACGCTTTTATCATTTCTTGTATAGAAGTGTTAGATATTATTTCAAACTATCTATAGTAAAATATATAAAATGCATATTTTCAAATCTTATGTTCAGTCGTAAGAAATAGACTCTCTCTCTTGATAGAATCTATAAAAATAATCCTCAGACTCTAAAAATAGAGTCTGAGGATACTAAAACTGCAAATTTTCAACATTATTTAATGATATAATCCAGAAAAAACTGTATTTAATAACCAACATTAATATCTTATCAATCTGACGATTTCTCTAAAAGAAACCACGGTTCATTGCAGTTCGTTTGTAGAAAAAATATGTACATCGCTGAACACAATTATGAATACAATTATATCAGAAGTCAACAAGTGGAGAATAATTTTCAATGAAATTATTCAATCGTGTTAAGATGTAAGTTAAAAATACAATTTATTATTATCCACTTGATACTTCCATTAATAAAAGGCACTATTCAGGTCCCAATATTAATTAATTAATCGAGATCAGGATTGAATAATCCTTGCATCCCTCCAATTCCTTACTTTTCCTTTCTCTACTCTTTTGGAACATATCTTGTACATATGCGATATATAAATGGTAAAATTTCTTAAAATAAAAATGCTTATGTTACAGTTCGATAGATATGTCAAGATTGATAAATGATTTCTCAAAAGAGAAACGAAAAATATGCGAACAACATTGTGTAATTATATCTTCGGAATATATATATGTATATTTATATATACAGATCTCATTACCAAATGCATTAATGTTTAACGATACATTTTCTAATCGATTTGAAATCGTAATGTTATGAGGGAAGAAGCGTGACACCCTGTTTGTATGCTGCAACAGTGAACTAAAAAATGAAAAAAAATGTTTATCGATAGGACCAGCCTATTATCTTTGAATGAATAATTCTGTAGACATTTGTGTGACAGGCATGATTACATCCTACATTATACACGAGCGCAAACAATTATCTCAACGACGAGAGATAAGGTTGACAAGTCATGCGCTGTACTGGCTGATAGAGTCTTCTTTGTACCGGACTAGCGGTAACATTATCGTTTGATCCGAAATTATAAGAATTGGGATCCCTAGATAAATCGGCGGTGCCTGTTTCTGCAGGACGATTCTCCTGGAGCGGAGAATCTCCATTACCGACCTGAGACTGCGAGGCAGCTTCGTTCCTCTTGCGGAATTTTGTTGAGTACTTGTAAAAGTCCGACATTTCGAAAGGCTTTGTCACTTCCCTATATGGTTGATATTTTCCTGGCTGCACAACTGTGCAATTTTGCGGTGAGCCTAACGGTCGTACTACATCGCAGATATCCATGGATGGCTTTGATTCGGCCGGTATCTCCAATACTTTCGACCTGGTCGTGGGTTGATCATAACGAGGATGAGACTGTTGCACTGGATGCTGCCGCTCCTCGGGCTTATCTCTCTTATGACGGTTTGCAGGGCTCATTGGCAGTGGCGGTCCGCCTGTCGTCTGATTATCTCTTGCGTTCTCATTAGTGGCAGTTTTAATACGAGCAAGCGGTGGACTCGATTGATAATGCACATTTTTTCGTGCGGCGATTAGATTGTGATCCAAGCCCGCACTCACTCCTGCATCCAACGATGTTTCGTACCACTCTTTCTGACGACTTTTACGATTGTTATTGATGTATTCCATCGCAGACGCATCCTTAACATCGTGCGAATCATGCAAATGACTCGAGTTCCAGGTTTCTACGCTTCCCAATGACTGTGTACGCAGCAGCATCTTGTTGTTCGTCGGCGTTTGTTGTTCAGATAACGGCAGCAGATGAACGGAGTGATGCTGATGGGAAGACGCGGTGACGTTGCTGCTCGACGAGCTTTTAGTACACGCAACGGCAACCGTGCGATAACGCGATTGCGTATCAAGATTCGCCTCACTGACACTGTTGTGTTGGGCATTTCGGCGTCTACGATCTAAACTGCCGAACCTGTCAGATTCGTCCGTGCTCACCCAGTGAATATCATCATGGTGACGCACCCAGTAACCGGATGGCAATGGAGCCTCGATCGATGTACTGCCACCACTGTGCCGCGAGGTGTTTTTAACGCAGGATGATAATGACGAGTCACGCTCTCGCCTCTGTAAAATTTGCTGAGATTGTGCGCTGTTCTTATAGTAGGCCTGGTAATCGATGGGCAAGTAATGAGATGAGCGAAAATCTCTGTCGTAGGTTCCCTGTCCGCTTCGCCGTAAGATATCCGCATTATCGAGATGCTTGTATTCAAAGGAACCTGAATACTGTAGTCTGTGGGTTTGCTGCTGCACCTGATCCTGCAATTGTTGTTGCTTCTGCATATGCTGAAATTTAAGGTAGCGCATTTGACGTTCGTCTTCGGTATATGTGTTCGGCACGTAAGGTCGATACATTCTCTCGGTATCCTGATAATGGCCACGAGATCCGCCGCTTCCGTGGGAATACGTACGCGCGCGATACTGATCGGGTAAAATGTAGACGTTGTGATTATCATTGTGATCATGTTCCACGATTTTAATGTTCGATTGTTCGACAGGGCTTACGCCGGGATATGTGCCACTGTGATGATGATGATGACTGCAAACACTCGGTATAGTTAACTGCTCCTCGTATCCATGTCCGCTGTAAGTATTCGATTTGTCCTCAGGTGCCAGGGGACTCAAACTAATACCAGGTTCATGAAGAATACTTCTTCCAACAGATTTCGGACTTGTTATCTCATTTCCTGTTGTATACAAATTATATGTTATAAATTGAAACGTTATTTTGTAAAATTATAAAAGAAGTAATTTTAATAATTTTTCTCTAACATACACATGCATATATATATATATATATATACAATACCTGTACTATCTAAAGGTGGCCGTGGCTTCTTTGTCCTGTGCTTTACGTTAATATGTGAATGTGGTTGTGTATTGTAACTTCCTGTGTTCACTGGCAATTGAGTTGGACGCTGTGTTTTACCACGAGTCTGCCTAATAAAGTTCAGCTGCGTCTCCAATTCTTGTAGTCTTCGCTGGCTTTGCTGATAAGCGAGTCTGTGCTTGCGTCTTGTGGCCTTACTTTCCGTAGGATCGTTAATAATACCTAACGCCGCTTCCACAATTCCAAGCTGTATTTGCTTTTCCAACTCCAATTCAGATTCCTCCTGCGTGCCGTAAATAGACAATAACTCCAATCTAACATATTTACATCGATTCTTATACCATTACATTTAAAATAAAATCTTACAATATCAGATGTTTTCAACTTGAGGATCAATTTTTGTGGATGTATAAAGGAAGTGCCCACTTTTTTATGAAAAGTTGGTGGACTTTCGCCAGGCTCCAGAGGTATTTCCGGTGGTAAAACTCCGGTTAACTCCGCCTCCTCTATGCACAGGTTTTTCAACTCATTATTTTTTTGAGCAAGCTTCTCTTGTAAGGCTTCTCGGCGCTGACGTAGCCATTGCAGTCTCGCAGATAATGGATCATCTGCCAAAGCTCCTGGCACATTTTCGTTTCCTGCCATCACTAGGCAAATGTAAAAGAAATATTTCAGTGTGATGTAATTAATTATAAAAGCGTTAAATGTTGTATTATGTATTGGTTGAGTGTACTTACCCATATTATTAGATAAGGTATAAGCAAATGGGTCAGCTGTAATCTTTACGATTGTCCTAGTCAATGCATCTTGACGACAGCATATCTTAAACTACGATGTCATTTAAGTATTGTTTATTGTTTTATATATATATATATATCAAGGATATACTGGAAGCAAGTCTTTAATTTTTACACAACTCGAGCATTCTTCCTTTGTAGATAAACTGCACACGATCAGTAGTGAATAAAGTAAAATCTCCAATAAAAGTTCCTGATGATCAAAGACTTTCTGTAACACAGCGAAAAGTTTTTTTCTTTAATAAACAACAGTTTTCAAAGTTCTCTAGTTTATATAGTTACCCGACATAAAAACACCTAGATTTCTATGTGTTTTATTATCTTTACATAACTGTCCTAATTTTTTTCTTAATAAACTTATAAATCGCTTTACGTGTCTTTAAAATTACATCTTCTTCAGCTTCTAAGCAAAGTCCACTAATACTTATTCTATTCGTTTCTGTGATAACGCTTAGGTTAACCGTTATAAAAATGTGCAGATTACTTTATCAATTTACGAGTACTTTATCAATTCCAGTCGATTGGTTGCAAAATCAGATGCCGCTTAAACCGTATATATAACAGCGGATTCAGATAACTGTTTCATTCGTAATTTCAGATCGTGTGTCATAACTAACGCTTCAGTATTCAAAGCGAGTTGAATCGACGCTAAGAATAATCATGATTTTTACCATCGGTTCCTCGCAGAAGAAATTTGTCAAATATGCCTACCAGAAAGAAGTAAACACTTTAATATCTAACTCACAGACAGCAGCGTCGTTAACGCGTGAAGAAAAAGCTTAACCGGAG